AAAAAAATTTTCAAGAGCTAATATGGTACGTCGGATCAAAACGATTTGAAGCGTCAATAGCTTGAAACAATTTGAAATATCATCGACTGTTGGATGATGCCTTTTTTGATCTCGAAATGATCTAAGCCACTCTTTGTCTCTTAAATTCAAAATCGTTTTAATTTAAAATATTTTTTATTAATTCGAAATATATATATATTTTTTAATTTAAACTAATTTAAAATTAAATTCAAAATATAAAGTAGAACGATTAAAAATATATTTTAACTACTGTTTTGATAATCTAATCTGAGTGTAATCTAGGATTTTAAGAAACTGTGATATGTCTTATTCACTGTTTAGATTCAATTATTTATTTACTTACTGATTTTAATTTAGAAATTTTATTTGTCATAGTCTTGGTATCTGAGATTGATTTTTGAAACTATATTCAAATTTTATTTGTTAACTATATTTTTATTCACTTCTATTAAGTTTTAATTCATTTTTTGGTTTTCAATTGTAAAATGTTTACAATATGATTGTAATTTTTTTCAATCCAAAGACAATTTAGGATGAAAAACTCTATATTCTTGATGAGAATTTTGGTATCACAACTATGGTAAAACAAAATATTTGAAATATTAATAATATAAATAACCAATAAGTAATCAAATCAATGACTTGATATCTTCTTTTTATATTTTTTGTCTTTATTTTTTAATTTCACACTTATTTTATATATATATATATATATAATTACAAATATAAAGATAATATAAATAAAAAATAAAAAATAAAAATCATAATTCACAATAGTCCGGGTTCAAGGACACAACTAGTCTTTTGAAATGTCAGTTGGAGTTCCTCTGACGACGGTGCCGATGATGGTCGCACAAAGCATGCGCCTAAATCAAAGCATATGCAACACGTTTATTGCATAAACGTTTGAATAACGTGGGCATCTGGTATGATACGAATCATAGAGTCCACCGGCCATCTTATCAACTCAAGGTAGGGGGCCAGTGCCAACCCTCCTGTCTGTGTGGCTCCGTCTTCTACCCTTGCTTGACTTACACTCCTCTTCTTACCATGTTTTCACATCCCAAAGACCGTACTACTTATTGTGTTAGAGTTTTCAAGACCAACAACACAAGTGCTGGTAGACAAATTTGTTTTTTTTTGGGTCATGAACTTGAGTTGTGGGCGTTGACATGTGCAAAATGGTTGGAAAAGTTAAATGATACATTAATGATCTATTTGATAAAAAATTAAAAAAATATATTTTTTATTATTCAAAGGAGGAATCGATCTTCCTTTCCTCTTTTGTGTTTGAAGGATGAAAAATATGAATGATTAATTTTTTTTTTGTTTGATAAGAATCAAATGAGTGATAATATGATAAATAATATTATAACAAAGTTATAATACGACGTTTTAAAATAAAAAATTTATTAGGATAATATAATGCTTGAAATTACGTTTGTTGGCTAACTAGCGCATATATAATGGGAGAAAAATTGATGACATTTTAGTCTATTTACATAATAAAGAGTAATTCTAGTATTTTATAAAATATTTAGTTAAATTATTATTTTATCTATTGATAGAGACAAAAGTTATTGTTATAGGAGTTGTTATTGAATTTAGACTCAACTACATGGTGTTTAGATGAAACTTTCCCTAAGATATAATATGTAGATATAATATCTTTTCGATCTTTGTACTATATATATGTACAGTGAAGATGTGTGTATGATATGAACAATAAAAATAAAGAGAAACTGCATTAGGATAGAATTTTGGGGAGATATATTTTTTAATTTAAACTAATTTAAAATTAAATTCAAAATATAAAGTAGAACGATTAAAAATATATTTTAACAACTCCTTTGATAATCTAATTTGAGTGTAATTTAGGATTTTAAGAGACTGTGATATGTCTTATTCACTATTTAGATTCAATTATTTATTTACTTACTAATTTTAATTTAGAAATTTGATTTGTCATAGTCTTAGTATCTGAGATTGATTTTTGAAACTATATTCAAATTTTATTTGTTAACTACATTTTTATTCATAATTCATTTTTTGGTTTTCAATTGTCAAATGTTTACAATATGATTGTAATTTTTTTCAATTTAAAGACAATTTAGGGTGAAAAACTCTATATTCTTGATGAGAATTCTGGTATCACAACTATGGTAAAACAAAATATTTGAAATATTAATATTATAAATAATCAATAAGTAATTAAATCAACGACCTGATATCTTCTTTTTATATTTTTTGTCTTTTATTTTTTAATTTCACACTTATTTTATATATATATATATATATAATTACAAATATAAAGATAATATAAATAAAAAATAAAAAATAAAAATCATAATTCACAATAGTCCGGGTTCAAGGACACAACTAGTCATTTGAAATGTCAGTTGGAGTTCCTCTGACGACGGTGCCGATGATGGCCGCACAAAGCATGCGCCTAAATCAAAGCATATGCAACACGTTTATTGCATAAACGTTTGAATAACGTGGGCATCTGGTACGATACGAATCAAAGAGTCCACCGGCCATCTTATCAACTCAAGGTAGGGGGCCAGTGCCAACCCTCCTGTCTGTGTGGCTCCGTCTTCTACCCTTGCTTGACTTACACTCCTCTTCTTACCATGTTTTCACATCCCAAAGACCGTACTAATTATTGTGTCAGAGTTTTCAAGACCAACAACACAAGTGCTGGTAGACAAATTTGGTTTTTTTTGAGTCATGAACTTGAGTTGTGGGCGTTGACATGTGCAAAATGGTTGGAAAAGTTAAATGATACATTAATGATCTATTTGATAAAAAATTAAAAAATTAAAATAATATTTTTTTTTATTATTCAAAGGAGGAATCGACCTTCCTTTCCTCTTTTGTGTTTGAGGGATGAAAAATATGAATGATTGATTTTTTTTTTTTTTTGATAAGATAGAAAAAATATTTTTTATTATTTTATATTTTTACTAAATAATATAAATACATATATTTTACCATTATATATATATATATATATACACACACACATAAATAACATACATTTTAACACATATAATTAATTTTTTATCTATTTATTTTCTCAATTTTAAAGAAATTGATTTTGGTAAGTTAGAAGAAAATCTTATTAATCCACTTTTTCATCTTTCCTTTTTTTTTTTTACCAAATATAAAGTTTTATCTATTCCTCAAACTTTTAAATTTTTTATTCTTTTATTTTTTCTTCATATCAAATGAAACATAATTTTAGAAAAAAAAAAATCAAAAAAGTAACGATTAAATGACGTGACACTGTGTTCTTAACAAATAAAAGTGAGATAAACAATACCTCTATATTGATATCACATTGTTTAATTTCTATTTTTCATTTCATTTTTTAGTGGGAATAATATTATCGGTAGCAATAAGACCAGGTACAACACCCTCGCTTCCTTTTTTTAGTGCCATATATCCGAATAATGAACATATTATTAGATAGCATTGCTTGAATATTAAGCCAATTAAGGAACAGTACTTGACACCGACGAGGAATAGACCTAAACAAGCATATACTGGTCTTGCTTATAGTCTCAGCTAGCTAATCCACCTTAACCACCACACCCCACCCCACCCCACTGGTGGTTCTGATGCCCTTGACATGCATTCTCCACTCATTTTGCATTTAATTTTGAATTGATGCTTCAACAATTTCCCTTTTGATTCATTCTAATGTTTCACGTGTGCTTCATAAAAATCTCCAGACTCCACAAGTCACTAGCTATAGCTTGATTGGATGGGAACGTGATTCCTCCTGATATTTTTTATCCAATAGTTTTTTTGATGGATTATTAATTACTAACGAGTGAAAGACTCACTTAAAGGGAATTTCATTTCCATTACAGAAGTGAATGACAAAGATATATAAGTTTTTACATTCTTCTCAATACTCAACATTATTGGTATTATTAGTTGCTCTTTTTTCAAAGGACTTCCTTCCCTTAATGGCCTACAAACCAATTCCATGCACTGTCTGAAATACAAAGTGCTATAAACACTCTAATATCATACTTGCAGTTGAGTTATATCTATCTTAAAGTGATTTAAGATCATAATATTTAACATTATTGTTTCTGAAATAATAAACTTAGGATGAATGATATTTTACACTCTAAAAAATCTTTAAATACCCAATTTACACAATAAAAGCTAAATTCTCACAATATATTGTACCATCAATATTGTAAAAAAAAAAAAAAAGAAATGTAATTTCTTTTAGTAAAATTGAGTACCAAATTTTCATGTAAAATACATAAAATGAGTAACCTATGGCTATGAATAATTGTGTACATAAACAGAAATATGAAAAATACAAAAAAAAGAAAAAAATGTCAAACGAAGCAACATGGGTCTGGACCACATTGGTAGAGTAATCCAGTCTAATACAATATAAAAATACAAAAAATATAATTAAAAGGGGTATTAGAATAATACGTAATTTTATTTAGTGCTTAGTAATGTACAACATAAATGTTGGATAATAATTATTTAATCCAATTGGTTGTTTGGTTAAAAAATTATTTCATCGTATTAATGTTAAATTAACAAACATATCTTTCATGGTGCAAAGTGTTATTTGGAAGAGGTCTAAATGAAAATAAAAAATATTATTTATACCTAATTTGTTAACCGTAGTAAATGACCTAATGCATTGTAGTCATTGAATTAATTAATAATGGGTTCCAAACATTAGTGGAGTCCACTGTCCATGTTAGAGATTGCTTATAATAACAAATAAGATTAGCAAATTAAATTCAAATAATGTTGCTCAATATACGTCCGCGTGCAGTACACCGTGACTGTTTTACTAATTTATGCCTAATTAAAACCATGCTTTCAGCATCACATGCATTTTCAGCATATAGAGTCATAGACAGAGTGCTCTATATATAGCAGCACAATCCCCATACTTTATCGTTGTAAGGTTTTGTTTGCTGGAGAGAGAGAGAGAGAGAGAGAGAGAGAGAGAGAGAGAGAGAGAGAGAGAGAGAGAGAGAGATGCAAGTTCTTCACATGAACAAAGGAGAAGGAGAGATTAGCTATGCCAAAAATTCTACTGTACAGGTAACTCTTATACCTTCTTTCTTTTTTTTTTTTTTTTGTTGGTAGAAAAGAGGGTGGGACTATGGAGAGCGCCCAAAGACCACTCTGATAGGTCTTAACTGCGCTTGGTATTCATCTCGAGAATAAACCTAGTTAGGCTAGTATAACGTCAACCACCGAATCTCAATGTGGACTCTAAGTTTCAAACCTTCAGCCACAGAAGTTCGAGTGGTATCCCATTGGATCACCCCATTCCATCTATAATTAACTGATTTTAAATAATATCCCCATGAATTTCTAAAGCAGTTATAATTAACTTGCAGAGGAAGATTATATCTGTTGCTAATTCAATGGTTGAGGAAGCTGTGATAGACATTCTGTGCAAAAACTTCCCCGAGAGCATGGGCATTGCGGATCTGGGTTGCTCATCCGGATCCAATACCTTAATGGTGATCTGGGAGATCATAAACATCGTCTGCGCCATGAGCCACCAAACAGGCCGCTCAGTGCCGGAGTTGAGGGTATCCTTGAATGATCTTCCTGGTAATGACTTCAATGATTTATTCCTTTCATTGCCATCATTCTACAACAAACTCAAGGAAGAGAAGTGTACCGGGTTGGAGAGGTGTTTTATATCGGGTATGCCCGGTTCATTTTATGGGAGGCTATTTCCTAGCAAAAGTATACACTTTGTGCACTCTTCTTCCAGTCTCCATTGGCTCTCTCAGGTTAGTTTCCCATTTCACAAGCTCTGCCTTCGAGTAATATTATTGTGATCTTAAAAATTAAACTAATTTATTGATATAATGATGTGTTAAGTAATGAGGTTTCCATGAAAAAAATCTAAGAGTTAACGTCACAATAATACTATTGGACTATGTCACTGCAACATCATTATGTCAATAGATTACGTTGAATTTTTAAATTCCAATACAATTACTACTCCCTTTCAGCGAAAGAAATGAAAATACACGGGTGTTTTTTGTCATTTTAAATCAGAGTAATGCTACACTGACTAAATTTTAGGATCAAATTTAGAGCCCAAATGACATGACAACTGACTTGAGCTTCTTTATTTGGTGCCATGTCATTTGGACTCCAATAAAGACTTCAAATAATATGCTGTCAAGTCATTTAGACTTCAAATTTAGTCCTAAAATTTGGTGAGCATGATATTAATGTTTAAGTCATTCTTAGTTTCAATTACTTGAAAGATGCACTTGCAAGTTGCAAGAATACTAGACTTGGAAGACACCTTTTTCTTCCATTCAAGGGGTGCAATTTGAGAAGTTGAGCTTGCGAGCATGTTGGGTTTGAGTCACGTTAAGATCAATTCTGTTTCAAGCTTAAATTTAATCCAAGCCTAATCATTGAAATTAATTTTTTTTATCAAACTAGGTTTGGTGGTAGCTTACGAGCATTCGAGTTAAAAGCCGAGTTCAAATAAAAAAAATCCAAAAAATCTGTACAATCAACCATCAAATTAAACCCTACAAATTTAAGCCTTACCAAAAATCTAAGAAGGGAAACAAAAAAAACAAAATGGATATAATCTGGAGTACCTACTTCTGTATAAACTTGAGGCAGTTTATCTTACGAATATGAGTTATTTTTATTTATTGATAAAGCTTATTAATATACATGAACAAATTTGAGTCGAATTGAGCCGCACTTAATTTGGATTCAACTCAATTATAAACAGGTTTAGAGATCTAATTCAATTAAATTATTTTTATATATATTTTTAGTATAAACAGTCAAAATTTAGTTTGAGTTTGAGCTATTCAGTTCAGATTGTTCAAGAGAACCCAATTCATTATATACTCTTAACAGATGTTTTTTTTCAGGATTTGGGGTTAGATTGGATTGGAGTGTCCTTTCTAACCCATTCCATCACTGTCGGTTAGGCTGGCTTTGTACAATGGTTAGGATCGTTGTAGTAACTTTATTACATGTGGATCCCATAGCAAAAAAAAGTGTGGAGGACCCATTGCTCTTTTCATGCATTCCAGGAAGGGCGCAAAGGGCTTGTCATTTTGCAATCTAGATAACGCTGTCTGTGTCCACATAGATCGTATGGTCTTGATTGAATAACGTCTTCTGCATGGGCTTATTACAACTATAGCATTTGGGCAATACAAAATTCAAATCATTTGTTAAAGCCAAACAAACACAAATAAACAAGGCATAAGATGGCACATCACAACTTAAAACAAACATGCCTGCATTAGTATGTTGAGACACATGACGGGGAAAGTCACCCTTCGAACACCCCACCCACCAAAATAGGCACAAAGATCCTGAAACATAAAGTACCAGAACAACCTAGATTACTTATATCAATTTAACAATTAATCTTAAAACTTATTTTTTAATCACACCAAATCTATTTTAACCATACCCACTGTAAATCCATTCTAGTTATAGCCTAGAAGCACGGATACATATATGTGATCAAGGGCGGGACCAAGGGGGAGCATGCCCACCATGAAAAAAAAAATTAAAATTTTTACCTTTGCATGGCTAACATGTAAATCAACAGGTTCCTGCTTCTCTGGACAGCAAGGCTAGCGTACCTCTAAACAAAGGCAAAATTTACATATCAGAGACGAGCCCCATTTGTGTCCTGGAGGCATACTTGTTGCAGTTTCAGAATGATTTCTCTCTGTTCCTCGAGTCACGTTCGGAAGAGATGGTTCCCGGTGGGCGCATGGTTTTGTCATTTATGGGCCGGAGATCCTCAGAATCGTCGGTTGGACAGAGTTGCCACCACTGGGAGCTCTTAGCAAAAGCTCTGATGAGCATGGTTTCAGAGGTATATTTAAGTCACTAAAATTTTTTGTTTTCACCCCAGATAGCACCCCCCCCTCCCCCCCTCTGCAAAACCCCCAGGCAATCTAGCCATCATCTTTTAAGAGCTTGTACTTTGAATTCAACTCTAGCTTATGCAGGAATCACCCAAAAGATTAAGCTGTTAGATCGTTCAAAATCTTATAGGCCATATGACACCTATTGACTATAATCTGACTCTTGGACTTGGTTATGGTATGGACAAAAAATAAAATAAAATTATACCATACCTCTAAAATTTACTAATCAGAGAATTGCTTTTTCAATTTTTGTGGATCATTTTATAATCAAAAAATTTATTACTTTTGTGGGTGGTTTATCACTTTTGTAAGTATTTTATTATTATTGTGATTATTTTTATCACTACTGTGATAACTACTTTTATCACTTTTTTTTAGTACAAAAAAATTTATTATTTTATGAGTAATTTATCACATTTGTAACTATTTATACCATGGTACCCAAAAAAGTGACAACTACTGTCATGGCACAATAGACAATGGCGGAGATTTACCACATTGTTTGAGACAAGATTTCGTAAAAAAAAATTGGTAAGCATAGCATTTTCCTTCTTTGTTACACCTTGTCTGGCGGCACAATTTTCTGGGTCAGTGGAATTTTACACCACCTATGTCGGAAAAACTCCAAAACAAGATTTTTTGGCCTGAAGTGAATCTATTACGATGATCCAATATCACATCGTTTGTTAAAATATGTATTCCTACAAAAATCGGAATAATTGATAGTTTACTAATAATAATTGTTGCAGGGACTTGTGCAAGAGGAAAAGATTGATTCCTTCAATACCCCATACTATGCACCATCTCTGGAGGAACTGAAATCTGAGTTTCAAAAAGAAGGGTCATTTATTATAGATCGCATAGAGGGCTTTGAGATTGATTGGGATGGAGGTGCCTCAAGCAATTGTGTTACCCAAGACCAGTTCACCACATTCGCAACATTATCGAGTGGTCAGCGAGTGGCTAAGACAGTCAGAGCCGTGGTTGAGTCGATGCTGGAATGTCATTTTGGAACAGGAATCATGGACGAGTTGTTTAGAAGATACAGTGAGATTGTGGATGATCATTTATCCAAGACTAGAGCCAAGTTCATTAATTTGGTCGTTTCTGTCATTAAAAAGGGTTAATTTGGACCTAGAAAATAAAATAAACTCAAGTACTAATGTAAAAATAAAATAATGCTGCTTGGACTTAATAATTGGGAACCCAATCTAACACTTTAGTCCATTGTTATCTTGAATAGATAGTGGGTTTTGATAAACGCCGAGGTTCTCCGTTCACCCAACGATTTCAATTTGGCAAGTTAGCTCTAGGTTGTATTATTGTCAATGACAACTTTTGAAATTTTATTTGGAGTGGTACGTAGGTGTATACTTGTTTGAGCAGCATGCAGTGACCAAACGCAGTCACATAGCTTATGAAGTGGACATGTACCTTGTCTCTTGTAAAAACCTTGATAATCCCAGCTTAATAAAGATTTTGCCTAAGATTTGCTGCTGAAGATACTCTTTCTTTTAATTTTTTTTACCAGTGCTATGTATGACCATTTTCCCACTTATAAATTTTCTTTTCCTTGGACAAAGAACTATTGATTATATCCCTAGAGATAATTATTAACAACCCTATTTATGTCCTATTCATGATTACAATTGAATTAACGAGTCTCATATGGAGTGATCGTGGGATGCCTGTGTATGAGCGATGAGTGATTGCATACGTACTTTCTGATAGTAATTACTCAATAACAAATAAACAAGGAAGCAACTGAACCCTATTATTTTGAATATGTAGCAGTTATTATCTTACATAGAAGGGTGGTTATTTGAAGGAGTAAGATCAATTTTGTCTAATTGTTGAGTTATCACTAAGAAGTTATGATTACACTCAATATTTACTCGTATATGAGGAACTTAGGACATGCATTAACACTACGCAATGCTAGTGTAGCCCTAAAACAAAGGAAAGATCAACATATCTACAACGCGAGAGTCCAGTGCATACTTCTTGTAGTTTCATAAGGATTTCTTACTTTTCCTCAAGTCGCGTTCGGAAGAGATGGTTCCCAGGGGCGCATGGTGTCGTTGTTTATCGGTCGGAGATCCAGCGATCCTTCGGCTGAAGAGAGTTGCCACCAGTGACCGGAGCTTTTAGCACCAGCTCTTATGAGCATGGTTTCACAGGTATAATCAAGTGCTATCATTGCCTTATTCTTTAGATAACTTACAAGTGAGACTAGGGTTTCTAAACAGTATGGTATATGTGCCAAACTATCTCACATCTCTTGAGGAATTGTGTGGGAAGTAGTTTACGACAGTGATGATGACCTAAGTCAAATAGACAACATTATACAAAACGGGTTTGAGATGTTTTTAGGGGTTACAGTCATTGAGTCTCATGGTGTAAATGCCACATAGTCTATACACTACACGAACACCTTATCTAGCGGGAGTACGGGACGGTGACAAATGATGTAGTGGTAGTCATACTCTCAAATCTTATATTATCTATGTTGGGGATGGGTCCCAAACTAGTATGTTTGCATTTAAGGGGTGAATTATGATGACTTAATCAGATATTCTAAGATAAAATGTGTATGAAGTAAGTGTGAATTTTGAACTTTTGTTGTATAACAATGCATGTCTACTTAAAAATTTACAATATCATGGAATGGGTAGTTATTTTCTGACATGGAGGAGAGATAATTATTAATTTTAGTAAGATTCATTTACGTATTTATTTAAATATTCTTGATTGGTCATACCAATTCAATATTACTACATGGTATTATTGTTGTAACAAATATTTCCATGAGTTTAGAAAGAGAACATGAACTAGAGATTTTGGAGGAGGTTGTGGGTCATGTTGGTGAAGGAATTCTTAAGTGGTTCATTGTACTGGATTTCATAAAAGGCCTCCAAGTCCATGTACTGGACACCTTGGGGCCCATTAATATACATCTGCACTTCTAAGTTCTGATTTTGTTGGGTTGTCTGTAAATGTTTTTTGATCCAATTTAATTGGCCTGGTAAACATAACCTAAAAAGGAAATTTTTAAATTTTCAAACTTTTTTTTTTAGTTTAACGATTAGGGGTATTTGAGTCAACTTACAGATAATTAATCCTCTTTCCGGTTTGATCAAATACAGACCATCCACGCCAAAACTAAGATATTCATGAGGGATAAATCTTTCATGACCTGATTCCAAAAATTACCAAAGTTCGAACTAAAAACGTTTTCAATATACCTGACCCTCTTTTACTTCAAAGAAGACTACCGAAGCAAAGCAAATTAATTGCTCACATAACAATGCTTCTATTACATTTGCCACTCGGGTAGACCTGCAGGTCTTGACGTGCCACATTAACCACCATTGAATAAATGGGTCTCCTAAATATATCTAATAGTAAAAAGTTAAATATCATTTAGTTGGTTGGAGTTGAATTAGCGATGACATTTTTCAAAAAATTCAAATATTATAAACATGTGAATGCAATTACAACATTATTAGAAGCAGTAAAGTGGAAGTACTTAAAAATTAATTATTTTCAATTGACAAACTGTCGCCTATGATATCAGGGAAATCCAAGTATTATTCTTATGATGGGACCAAATTGCATTGTATGGATGGGACTT